GTCACTCGGACATTAACCTCTGGATATGCCTCATTTGCGGAAATGTCGGCTGTGGACGCTATGACGGGGCTCATGCATTTGCGCATTACAAGGAAACGGCGCATGCCTTTGCAATGGATCTCTCTACGCAGCGCGTCTGGGACTACGTCGGCGATGCCTATGTGCACCGCATCATCCAAAGCAAAACCGACGGCAAGCTCGTGGAACTTCCAGCAGCCGACAACAGTGCGCTCGACCCACCCGACTGGACAGACGCCGTTCCGCGGGAGAAGCTGGAGAACATGAGCGTGGAATATACCCATCTACTTACTAGCCAACTTGAAAGCCAACGGGCCTACTTCGAAGAGGTAGTCGAGCGTGCCGTGGACAAAGCATCTCAAGCCAGTGCCGCTGCCTCTTCCGCGCAGGACGCAGTCGAGAAAGCCACCGCCAGCTTGAAGAGCCTGCAGGCGCAATATGACACCCTGACTAGCGAGATTATCCCCGGGCTGGAGCGCGATAAGGCGCGGGCCGAGAAGCGCGCGGAGAAGTTCGAGACGATGACGCGCAAGATGGAGAAAGAGTGGCGAGAAGAGAAGACGATGAATGAGAATCTCATTGAACGGGTTGAGCTTTTGAAGTCCGAGGTGGAGAGCCTGAAGCTTGCGAATGCGGATTTGACGGAGCAGAACCGGGATCTCACTTTCTTTATCAGCGGGTCGGCGCGACTGCAGGATCAGGGCGATGATGTGGTGCAGGGAACAGTCAGTGTTCCTGAACCGGAGAAGCCGAAGAAGAAGGGGAAGGGGAGGAAGAAATGATCGAGGGGGGATTTGATCCTAGGCTCGCCGGTTCGAGTCGATGGATCAACATGCAGCAGGTCTATTGATACAACACAATCCACGTCTATCACTACATTAGTATAACAGCACAAATGCAAAAAAGAACCTAATGCAATGAAACACCTATCTAATGCTATGACAGTAACCCAAGCACTGCATCTATAGATACATATCGTACACCACCCTGGCACCTAGTAATATACAATCCCACCACCTCAACAACATCCTACTTCCTACTACGTAGTAAGATTACTCCCCCTTCCTAACCGCCCAAAAATAATTCCCCCAACTCTCCGACCCCTTCACCAACTTCCACCCCAACCCAGGAAAATACACCACGCCTTCACACCTCCACCTCGCCCCCTCCAACGCCTCACTACCCCCCCTCACAGCCCTCCCATCCACCCCCCTCATCAACCCCTCCTGCACCCACCCCTCCAACTCCCCGGGATTCACAAACTTCTTCCACTCATGCGTCCCCCTCGGCACGACACCAATCGGCCACGGCGCCTCGGCCACAACCTGATTCACCAGCCACGACGGGAACGTCCTCGCGATCGTCGACCCAATCAACCATCCGCCCGGCTTCACCATAGATAGACAATTAGACAGGAAACTCTGCGGCGTGATCGACCCGGGGATATTATCGATATGCTCGAGCACTTCGAAGAGAGTCACGATGTCGAATCTCCTCTCTTCGGGCTGTAATGTGGGGATGAACTCCTCCAACGACGCATTCACGTACTTGAACCGCCCGCTATCCAGGTGCGCTTGCACGGACGGGTCGAGACGTGCATGGTCCCGTGCGATCTTGATTAGCGTGGGGCTGGGGTCCAGTGCTGTTATGCTGGCCGCGCGGGTGCGTGTCAGAGAAGTACCACTAGTAGTAGCTTCTGATGATGCAGAAGGTGAAGAGGCTGGGGTGATTGTGCGTGCTAGTGACTCGGCGAAGATGCCCCCTCCGCAGCCGATGTCGAGATATCGGAGGTTGTTCTTGTTGTGGGTGTTGGTGGGGTCCATGGGTGAGGATGGCGTCGTGCTGCTTATCGGGGTGGATTCGGCGAGGCAGGAGGCGATGAAGTCGTGGCGGACGGGGTTCATGAGGTGCAGGACGCGTGAGGGGCCTTGGGGATCCCACCATGATGTGGCGAGGGAGGAGAAGTGGGATAGTTCGTTGGCGGAGACGGAGGAGTGGTGTCGTGTTTGGGATTTGGGGACGGTTGTGGTGGTGGTGGTGGTGAGGGCGCGGAGGGTGCGGAGGAGGGTCGTGGTGGTGGTTGAGGTTGGTGTTGGGCGGAGCATTTTGGCGCGGTTGGATTTGGTTGTGTTGGATTGTGAGTATTTTGTAGATTGTTTTGTTCGGAGGTTTCTGAGGTATGGTGGTTGTATTCTGGGTGGTAGGGTGGGACTGGCGGGTGGTGTTAGTTGGAATTTCGTTGTGATTGCATGGAATATATTGGTATATACCTAGGGGAATGTGTTGGATGCGCCGCGCATCGTCAATGGCAGAGATAATTTAGCTGATTTAGCTGCAAGCGCTGGTCTGGCAGAATTGAAGCCGAAAGTTGCGATATTGCGGATGCGGATGTTGTTCGGGGGAACAAACATGCCAAGGCTGGGTGTTTGTTTGGTCTGTCTGGTTGTCTGTCTGCCAGGCAGGCAGGCAGGTACTGCTTACTACTCACATTTAGATTTGTTTGGAGGCCTGTTTGCTGTTTGCTCGCAAGAATGATCGCATCAAATATGATAGATCAACTCTCTTGATCAGATACAAGGTTTTTTATGTCTGGAATACATCCTCGGCTGCTTTCCGTGCATCGTGGCGTGCTGCATTGCCCATCCTCATATTGTATATATCGCGCACAGCAAATTGAGGCGATCAGGCTACCAATTTCTACTGTTTGCCTGCTACGATGGCTGACTTGCTTACTTAATCATAATACAATAACTGCACCTCCCACAAGGTACCAGTACACAACATCCACCGCGTACAATACTGCTTGCTCCAAATGAGAGAGAGAAAGAAAAAAAAAACCCCCCGAAAAAAAAATCTAAAAGAGAAATGTGGCACCTCAATATACACAGCACAGCAGAAAAACTTATTGCTAATAGAATATTCCCTCACATTCTTTCTTCCTTTTCCTTTCTCCCCCCGTCACGAACAACAAACAAACGGGGAATCCACAATCTTCCAAACACAGAATAAAACTCCGTCGGTGAACCATGATTCCAGCCAACTAACTGAACTAGTTTTCATTCCCCACTTAAGGGAGTTGTTCTACGTGTCTTCTGGAAGCATACTCTATCCATACCTGTCGAGTTCTCGACGTTTTTACGGAGTCTACCTAATTTGTTAGTTGGTTAGTACGTGGTGTTGCTAGTCAGGGTTATGGGGCCGGCGGTCTGGGCCAATTTTCCTTTCCTTTCCTTTTTCCTTTTCCTTTTCCTTTCTGTGCCGTACGTAGTCTAGTACAGTAAGTAGTACTCCGTGGCTTTATGGGTTCTGGTTTTCATTGGGGGGAGGTTTTTTTGTTGCTCCAATTCAGAGGGAGGGATGGGATGGGATCCAGATGGTTGGTTAGTTTGGTCCATCTTTTTATTTTTGTCCTTCTTGTTTTGTCTTGTCTTGTCCCGTCTCTTCTCGCCTCTCTCTATCCCTTATTCTTCTTTTCTCCTGGTTTTGTTGTATTGTATGTTTCATTAAGTGCCGTGTGGAATTGATAACTACTAGCTGAATAATAAATGACAAACCATGGGATAGTTCTAGGTTCTCTCATTACGAAAGAGAAATGGATCATCAGCCGTCCTTTTCCTTCTGTGTAGATACTCTCGACTTACCCGGTGCGGTTTAAGCTATATGTTAGTATAGTTTAAACATTAAGCACTACTCTGTTATTCCCTTACCCTAACAGACTAGTCAGCTTAGTCTCGGGACGGGACTCGTTTTCATGATGCCGGTGAAGATCATGATGAGCGTGCACTATCTGCGTAGAGTTAAGACTGAGTTGGTTTGTCTGTCTGTCTTGCTTTCTGGGCGGGCTTGATTCTTGGGGTTGTCGATCAGGAAATGGAACCGGCTAGAGAAGGGGAGGGAAGAGGGGGGGAAGGTGGAAAATGGGGCATGGTGGTTGCCACTATGACTGCTATGGTATGGAGAAAAAAACTCCTAGTTTGTATGGAGTAGCTCCATATTGGTGGTTAGTACTTCGTAGTAGTGTCGGGGAAAATAAGGATACGATGATGGTGATGGTGATGGTGATGATGCGGTGTAGTACACAGCAGTATGTGTGTGACTGACGGAGTAAAGTAATACGCGTTATATACCGAGTTGGGATGGATGACATGGTGCTAAGAAGGTGAAAGTGGTGGTTGGTAATCGGATGCTCTCCGTAGGTACTAAGTTCTTGTTCTGCCATCTCTCTTCCCCTATCCGATGGAAGACGGAAGAAAAGGTCGAATTCGGCTGTGACGACAATGGTCGTACTGCAGCTGCAGCTCCTCAAACTACACAGTAAGTACACTAGTAGGGTAAAAGAGAAACAGTGGCGACATAGAAAAAGACAATGGGATTCAAGAAAACTTTAACTTAAATCCTCCCCATGCATCTGCGCGTTGACCCCGAGGCTGACAATGTGTGATTGTCCTGCATAGGCAAGCTTCCAGAAAAGAGGCAATCTGGCGCTAGAGCATCTGCTACTGCATCATCCGATGGCGATGCATCCATCCATCCATCCTTCGTCCCTCCTCAATCTGACGGACGGGCTTAGTCGAACCGTCTCTCAATTCATGCGGCGTGAACCAGACCACACCACCTGTGGAACTCTCCCCTATTCTGCTTTAGGCAACGTATCTCTCGCACCAAGGGCCCGTCCTCTCCGACAACTGAAACTCCAATGCGGCCACTCGCAATTAAGCCTAGCCCGTCGGTCCAATCGTATGTCCCGCATATGATGGTCCCTCCTCTTATTAAGTATTACTCAGTGAGATGATGCAGACGGGCAGCTGGTTAGGACGTCATCATCGTCCGCTCTAGCCACACTTCTCCTCGGATCCCGAGCGCCCCTGAATTTACGTGGGCCAAGTCAAACCACTCCCAAGGCATAGTACTCCGTATTGTGTCTAAGAACGAGACACTACGGAGTACTACTCTATCTAATTCGCACTACCTAGTCCCCAAGGCCAACGTTCGGGAGAGAGCCTAGCCGTGGGGCCGCGAGAGAATCATTCAACACGGATCCGCGACCAACACGGACACCTGCAGGGATTCCGGGCAATGATGACGATGCCGATGGTCAGATAGGACGGAGCGCATAGCTGTCCTGTTCTTCGGGTCACCTAATCATTAGAAATTCACACTGACCACCAAGAAAGTCAATTCCGGGGTTCGCTAAGTAGTCTGCAGCTATCATGTATCTTTTATTTTTCTTTTTGGGATTGCTGTATTATTCTGTTGGCTGTCGGAGCGCCGGCTATGTCCAAGTCCGTTGTGCGTTGTCGTGGGATCTTCCACTCAGGGATGTGACACGAGCGCCAGGAGGGAGAGACAAGGGCCACCATCGGCCCAAGGTGGGTGACGCAGCCGCAATGGCACATGGGGGGGGCAGAAGGGGAGAGAAGAGGGGGGGGGAAAGACGCTTTAGAAGCCTTCCATTGCCCTTCCGAGCTCTTTCTAGAAGGTCGCCGGAAGCCCGAAGTGGGCTTGGCAGCCATCATGACTGGTTCACACGAAGGATCCATACGATGTACGAGTCCGTTAGTGTGTGTAGCAGTGGGGTCAGTCTTCTGCAAGGGAGACCAACAAGGTCACAACCGAATAGGAAAAAGCAAGCAGGGGAAAAAAAAGTCGACAAGGGAAAAATACCAAGAGGGGTGGGAAAGGAAAGAAAGGAGGGAAGCCCTGACTGAAGCCCAGAGGCAGCACGGGTGGATTCTTCGTCGCAGCCTCCTCCGTCAGGTCCGTAGACTAGCAAGACTAGGCGACTAGTCGCAGGACTAGGGCATTTCTTGTAGGAACCGGGCGGGAAAAGACTCCACGGCCCATTACCGCCCTCCGTATCATCAAACCCTGCTTTTTTTTTTTTTTTTTTTTTTTTTTTTTTTTTTTTTTTTTTTTTTTGAGAATCGCAGCGTATTTTTTTTTTTTTTTTTTTTTTTTTTTTTTTTTTTTTTTTTTTTTTTTTTGCGCTTCGGAATCAGCCCCTTCTTGGTTGGTGTGCCCTTTGCTCTTTACACATTCGCTGCACCAGTCAGCATGTGGTCCAACGTGACATGCAGATCGGTGAGTGGAATGGGGAAGGAAGCATCCGACAGGACGAGGAAGACCTGTCCCTGCAGCCGGAAGGGAGGGAAGAGGAGACACAGGAAACAAGAGGAGAGAGGGGGGGGCCTGCGTGGAGGGACGGGTTGAAGCACTATGTAATAGTGCGTTCAAAGCTCCTCTAGGAGGCCCTGGACCACGCCCGATTCCCCATCATTCGAACCTTTCTAGAAGGAAATTAGCTTTCCCACCGTTGTTCTTTCGGTAATCACAGGCCATGCTGAGACCCTCTTCCGAAAGGGGCAAATCACATCTTCCGTTGAACAGCCGAATCGCCTGGGGTTAGTCCGCGATGCCTCTTCGCGGCTGGTCAATCTGATTTTAGTCTTCTGTAGTAGGTGAAGTAGTTACTCTAGTACTCTAAAGCGAGATTAGCGATCGCTTCGCCCTGAAATTTCGTCCAAGGGAAGGCTGACAACAAATAAGAGGCATCCTTTTTTTTTATTATTATTCGCATTTGCATTTTCGGTTTCGTCCCGAACAAGGCTTCCTGTTGGCGAGCTTGTGTAAAGAAGCTGAAGGATGTTCTTGCCCTGTCTGGGACTTTTGGGAGGGCGAAACTTGAGCAAAGCCACGCCATAGGGTGATGGTTGATGCCTGATCGGAGCCGGCGCTGGAGAGTTTTTCGCATTGTCGCACGATACTTTGAAGCATGCAGCCAGTCCGATCTGATCACCTGGTTTCCTAATTCCTCACCTGCTTTCTTTTTTCTCATTTGTCTTTGTCCTTCCTTTGGTTTCGGCTTATCCTCCGTGCTCTTCCTTTTCCCCTCTCGATGGGCGCACCAGGGGCAGATAGCGGCCCCTTGAGAAAAGGGAAACTCCTGGGGTAGGTGCAGGAGTAGCTTCCGAACAGTGATGCAATATCCGTGGTCAGACTCCTGGCCCAGTTACCAGCCACGATCGGGGACCTTGTTCCTCTCTTTCTGCCTTGTACCAGTTTACGTTATATCACACACACCCCTCCTCCTCATTCATTTAGCGCAGAATGTGTCCCGTGGGATGTTCTCTGGTTAATCGCGTGTTCCTCCGAGTAGGGCGGCTAAAAACCGTTGTTATCGGATGCGATTCCTTGTTCTTCTTCCATCACGTATCCTTCACAGCATGTCCCGAGGGAAGTGTGACGGGGAGGATGGAAGCAATGGAAGGTAATCGCCTGGCCCGCGGCACCAGAAAAAGGATAATATTGTCCTGATTCATTCAGATCGGCATCAACCCGCCGATACCCACCCAGCAGGAGCGATTCTCGCACGGCCAGGGAGAGACGGGGAAAGCCACGTTGTGGAGCCGAGCGCTGACGGTGACCTTCTGGTGCCGCCAGCTTCTTCGGGCGAGTTGAGTTCACTGGAGCCACTTGGGGCCTGTGGTGGAAACGTGCGAAGCTGTAGTGGTACTTAGAGTCGTGGTAGCCTCCGTGAACTAAAGCGTAGTGCAGTTAGTCTAGTAGCAGGAAGTAGTCAGTAGTAAGGTAGGTAGTAAGTCTGGGACTGAACTAGTCAAGAAGAAGTCGTCAGTGAAATTATAATAATAATAAGATTAATATTATGATTTTAGTCCTTTTTAGTATTTTGGGTATTTATTATTTTTCATTTATTTTATTCTGATTTTATTTTACCGCCACTACTGTTGGAAAAGGAAAAGGAAGGACCTCCAGCTATACTAATTATAATAACATTTAATTTTAACTTACCTGCCAGACCAAGTGGTGATGGTCGGCAGGGGAAGAGAGGAGCACATCCAATCCTCACTAATAAGACGAACGGGTGAGGCACGCACACCGTATGGATACCTTGGATCACACTAGAAGGAGTAGAAGAAGTTATTTTAACTGGATCTATAAGAAAACGAGCAGCCACCTGTTGTTGGGCTGCTTTTTGCCCATTAATATTCACCTGCAGCCCCCGAATCCCCCCGGTTGATTGATTGATTGATTGATTGCTGGATTGATTTGAGTATTGATGATTATTATTTTTATTATTATTTTATCCTGATTTTATTTTACTCACTTACTCCTCTGACTCTACCTATTACTGTTCCTGTTTTACCGACCAAAAACAATCCCCATCCATCCATCCATCAGCATCCAGAGATTATTCTTCCATTAATTATTCACTGATTCTTTTCCCCATCACTCACCTCTCTTACCTTACAAATTCCCTCCCCTTCATCTTATTTGATTTTTTCTCTCTCTTCCGGTTTGTACCAAGAAAGAAGAAGTCAAAACTTACTTACCTCTTTATTTTTGTTTTTTATAATTCCTTTTTGACTTTTGTTTTTAATTCCTCATCCTCTCTTCTCTGCCTCCCCGTCAAACCTCCTTGCTTTTCCTCTTTTTTCCCACAGCACACACACAGACAGACTTTCCCCGTCATCCTGCTTGGTGCATTTGCTTTTCCGCCTCTTGCATCGGTTCGCCACGGCTGTGTGGTTCTCGAGGAATTTCCCTCCCCTCTCATCTTACTATTGCTTCTCCCGTCAGAATAACCCCGAGAAGCTCCGTCGAACAGGCCTCTTCTTCTTCTTCCCCATTGCTGGCTGTTTTAACTTCTTCGGAACCCCCCCATTTTCTTTCCGTCGATCCCCTCCTTCCGCGCGCAACATAACAACAACACTTTGGGTCTTCCCAGACCGTGTCCATCTTGACCGCGTTTCATCTGAAAGCTGTCACTTCTTTCCTCGGTCTCTGTAAGTACCTCTTTCTTGGCTGCTTTGGCGCTGTCCACACCGCAGCTCCCCCCGCGGCTGCTTGGTTTCCCTCCCCCCTCTCCTCCCGATTTTCCCCCCAGTCAATGATGACTGCCTTCCATCGCTGCATGTGGATGGATATGAGCGCCTGCAGGTCACGTCTCTGTGCGAACCAGCGTCTTATTTGTCGCATTTCCTGGTTTCTGAACCTGCGCGCAATGCCGTCCATTGAGCGGGCTCGGACTGGAGATTTTTCTCACCACCTGTTCTGGTGGGAATAAAAAAAGGAATTTGAGACACTGGACAGGCCGCGCACAAGGCACCTTTCCCTCACTTGATTCTTTCGGTTTGCGCGCAGTTTACTGATCTTCTACCTGTGCCTCCATTCAGATCTCATCCATAAGACCACCGATCGAGTCCGAATCATTTACGTCCTGCCCGTTTACCCCTCCTCTGGAGACGCTGAGCTTTTCTCCTGGGATTTCCCGCTGGAACATTTCGACAGCGCGCACATTCACTTCCTGCGATCGCATACATACTCCAAGTGAATCCGGACCTTGTCGCATATTCGCGTGCAAGCCGTAGCGACATTTCGGTGATTACAAGTCTCGCGTGTTCCATCGACCGATCCGAGATTTGTCGAGTTTACACCGGTGATTTCAAGCCACTTCCCTTCGATTACTGCTGGATAAGTTTCGCTGCAGCTATCCGTAGAGGTCAGAACTAGGATCTTGGTCTTTGCTGGGTCAGTTCCGAATCTACTGTTACAAGACAACTGCGGACGTTCCGATTCGTGAAGAAGCGCCCGTTCTCTCAACACCTCGGATTTTGTTCCTAGAAGCCAAAACTCGCCAGTCAGTGTCTGGGTACCCGGTGAAACCAAGGACCTCATCCGTGCTGTCATTTGCTGCCCAGCCGTGAGTCTACTGCGCAGTCTGGGTTGACAACTCGCCCTTGTCCTCACATTCTTGATTACGAGAAAGCCGTGATCCCGGTCATCTTCGCCCACGTCACACCTCATCAGGACAGACAGTCCTTGATCTACGGGTAGCGCAAAGCAAGGTGAGTTTTACAATTATTTCTTTCCGTTTATCCCGGCAAATCATCTGTCCATGACGTCTGTTTGCTTTCGACCGTGTTCGGTCTGGAGTCCGTGGAGCAGTCGCGGGCTTTCTGCCAGCGTGTTGCCTGATTGTTGGACGTGGTTACTCCCATATGCAAGCCACGGCCGCGCTGTTTGTCGGTATCACAATCGTTTTTCATTGCGCTATACCAGTGAAGCTAACTCGACACCTGTCTCAGCCACTCAACAGCCTTTGATCAGCGCCGTGGAGTCATTCTGCGGCTACGCGTCAGACGGGCTACCGTGAAATCCTTCGACCGTCCTTGACCACCGTCCCTCAGCTCTTCGCGGGGTCGGGTCATGGACATCACAACTATTTTGAATAGAAAAGGTTCTGCCGCCATGGTTGCCGCAGACGGACAATTTGATCATCAGCATTTGGTACCGAATCCTGGGCTCGACACGTCATCGCCCAAAATGAAGTCGGAACCTGGTGTCTCCGACGCTGGTGATCAAGCTGTCCTTGCATACCCCCCTCATGGTCCGCTCGGCCAGGTGCCGAACATGGCCCATGATATGCGCTATGCGCACCAGGCACACCCGGGGCCGGGGCTGCCCCTATTGCAGAATCCTTTTGTTCCTGGAGCCTACGCCGGTGGTGCTCAAATACCGAACACCGGTGCCCCTCAAGGGAGGCCGGATCCTCCTCCCAAAACTTTCCACTGTGGTACTTGCGGTAAAGGATTCGCCCGCCGCAGTGACCTTGCAAGGCACGGTAAGCATTCTTCACGAACCCGTAGGGAAACAGTCAGCTAACTTGCATAGAACGTATTCACTCCGGCATCAGGCCTCATGCTTGTGACTGGCCCGGCTGTGGCAAACAGTTCATTCAACGTTCAGCTCTGACAGTGCACTCCCGAGTCCACACTGGAGAGAAGCCTCATATGTGTGAGAGATGTGGCAAGGTATGTACATGCTTTTTGGCTGGCTTTCGAGCAGGACTAACCGACTTGTAGCCTTTCAGTGATTCGTCCTCTTTGGCGCGACACCGCAGAATCCACTCTGGGAAGCGTCCCTACAAGTGCCCCTACGCGAACTGCCAGAAGACATTCACTCGCCGCACCACCTTGACACGCCACCAGAACCACCACACGGGCACAATCGAGGAAGCTGCTGCGGAAACCGAGGCCAATCTGAGGCAGAACAAGGAGAGAGCGAGAATGCCTGGTGACATGTTCTCCGATCACGGTTCTGTCCATTCCACTCCCTCTCCGGCACACCATCCTATTTCCCCAGCTGGCGACCTTCCCCCTTTGAATATGCCTCGCTCCGACTACTACATGCCGAACGGATCGATTCCGCCCCATGTTCGCGGCGGTTTTACGCAGGCCAGTCCCCGGGCTTCCCCGACCGCCACGTCCCCATCTTTGTCTAGTTATGGTAGCGCTCCGCACCCCCGTCCCTCGATGACTTCCCATCCGTCGGGATACGGTCCTCCGCAGCCTCTTGAGCCGCCCGCCAACAACGACCACCGGCCCAATAGCGTTAGCGGAAGCCCGCACATGACCAGCCTCGGTTGGCCTTCTCCTTCGCATGCCAGCATCCCGTCGCCTGGCTCGGCAACCGACTTCTATCCTGAAACTAGCGGGCCCGCATATCCGAGCGCCATGCCCCCTCACATGTACTTCCCCAACTCGACCATCCGGCGGCCCACGAGCACTGAACCGGATGGCTATGATCTGAAGCACAAGATGGAGAGCGCCTGGTCGACTCCGGTCTAAATATGGGTAGTGGACTAGACTCTCCAGCAGACGGCAGGGCCGCTAATGGAGAGTTGCTGTCCTACTACGCCATTTAGCATAACGTCTAGTATCCTCTGAAGATGCTCGGCGGATATAAGATATTTCCTTTGTTAATTTCTGTTTATTTCCTTTGTTATATCGGTCTGTTCCAGCATTGTTCATTCCTCGTGTTCTACATCATGGCATACATCTTTTGGATATTTGATATACCGTCATCTTTGCATTTCCCAGTGTGGGTCACCAGCGCTGGAAGGAGTCCGGGCTAGCTGATTTGTCGCGTGCGCAGGATCCGAGTTGTCCGCTCTGTTCCATTCTGTTGTTCCTTTTGTGTCTAATGTGCGATACGACCACCAGGACGAAGCATAAAATATAGAGAGGTGGAAAAGGTGTCATGGCTCGGTCGGAATGGGGTTTGGGAATTCGGGGTCTTGGTCTGGTTTATGCTTATTATTCCATCGTCATCATCTGTGCATATGTTCTATACCTATTCTTTTTTCCTCTTGTACCCCCCGCATCATCGTGTTGTTCTATTCGTTGTTTCCTTATTTTCCTTTGTGTGATAATCCCTTAACGGCCTCTTACCCTTTTTTTTTATTACCCAGGTGTAGATGAACCTGTTCCTTGTCATGTATGATAGACTTAACCTACTACTACTATAGTATACTACTTACACTACTAAATGTACATCGATCGATCGCTACTGTGGAAATGCATTCACTCACTGCAGTAGATATTCATTTCACCCAGGCAAAAAAAAAAAAAAAAAAAAAAAAAAAAAACACCCTCGGAACTACTTTCCATACTCTCACCTGATTGACCTGCTCATTCCTACCCAACATCCGAGCCCTCATCAACTAGAGCTCAAGAGCTCATTTAACCTGAAACACCCACTAGCAAGGTTCTTCCCGGTTGATGACGTACCTCCTCGCCTCGGCTCCGGCAGCAACTAACTAGACTATCTATCGAGACGGGTACAGTAGTATGTCAATAGTTTGCGTTGCCCCATATTATACGCTAACCAAATTGGATTCTGCCTTCCAAGTACAGTTAGATCGAAAATATTCTGTCAACCAAAACAATGCATACAAAGCGTGTGGTCATGAAGCCCTACATAGATATTGATATAAGGGTTCTAATTCTTTGCAACATGACAGATTTATGTAGGTTTCATGATAAGAGACTTCATATATTTTGTTGTGGTAGGCAGAATAACCTCGATCTTACTATATCAGGAAGGCGGGATCACTAGCGTATACAGTGGGGAACGCAAACTTTTGACATCCCACTGTATGAGCTCATAGATGCCTTAGGCACCGAGTGAGATAGATGGAGATTATCTCTGCCTGAGGTTATGTATGATAGATTACTGCCACGCAGCACCGCCTATTTTGATAGAATCTCAGATGAGAAGTTTGGGGAGAATAGTATGTATGGTTATGTGGTTGATTGGTTGATTGATTAACTAGTGGGTTTGTCATAGGTATAGTGGAATGAAGGGGATATATCCAGTCTCTTTTTAGCTAATCTGACTCTCAATTGAATGACTGAAGGGGATGACATCGCTTGAAAGTGGAAGCTATGAAATGAGTATGTGGATTGTGTATGCTTACGAGTTTGCTGTATGGGACAGACGGTAAAAGGGATGAAGTTACTGGTGTGATCTGGCCGGCCTGCTATTGTGAATGTAATTGTAATGGTGTGATGAATGAGAAAGTGTGAGTTGAGTATTAAGTATGTAGGGTATGGTGTAATCAATACGGCAAGCCGGTGGTATTCAGTGCTCCTCCCATGCCTGCTGGAACTCCGGGAACAGCAGGGACTGGAGGACAAGAGCATACGGGTGCGGGTGAAGTATGTCCGAGGGCTCGGGAGAGGATGGTAGTGATTGTTGAGGATGCGCCGTTCTCGCGGGCGGAGAGGAGGCCGAAGCGGAGGAAGACTTCGGAGGTGGTGACGAGGATGGAGATGATGATGAGGACGATGATGATCCAGGTTTGATCTGTGGGTTGTTAGTTCGGTTATACATTTCATGGTAGGGGATGGCATACGCGAGGTTCTGTTGTCGGCGATCGAATCGGAGAGAATTTCAGCCAGGTCGAGGAAGACACGGCAGCGTTCGTTGAGGACTTGGATTCGGGGCTTAATTTCGAGGTATTCGCGAACGGCAATGTAGAGTGGGTAGAGAGTAGGCTCGCTTTCCCAGAAGAAGTTGGGGACGTCGAGCATATTGGACGCTGCAAGAATTAGAAGGTCATCCAGCTTATGGTTCGAGGGTGTCACTTACAGAGGTTCACTTCCACACGACTCTTGAACAGACTACCCAGGATCCGGAATACTTCGTCTCGCTTCATTCCTAGGTTGCCGGTCATGGCGAGTCGGCGAGGGACGTCCTTGGCCTCGGCCATCTGGCGAGCCATAACTTCCTCAAAGAAGCAGAGCTTGGTACTTTGAGCGATGCCATGACTGATAGCCAGCTTGATCATGTGGTCGCCACTGCGCAGAGTGATCATGTCGTTGTAGACACGCGGGCGTTTGATTTCGGTCGAATATTCGAAATGGAACTCCTCTGTTTCAAAGTCCTCCTCTTGCAATGGCATGGTAGCCAGTGGGATGGGTGATCCCGTTGCGGACGACGTCGCAAACGCCAAATCAGCCAGCAGATCCTTCTCTTGCTTCTCGGTGAAATTCCAAAACACGACAACTCCGTAGCTGAAGACAAACATCTCCGCCACATTATATGATAGTCTCGACGACGCTGTTGAGCCAGCAGTCGGGCCCGGCTGGCTATGGGCCGTACCTTGACCAAACTGTTCCCTCGAGCCAGAACCAGCATGATCCTCTTCACCAGCTTGATGCGATTCATGCGGGTGCGGACCATGCTCATGACGCCCCCCAAACACCGAATGCTCCTCTGCCTCCGGCATATAATCCTCATGATGATCTCGCAGCTCATTCCGCTCAATCTCCTCATCGAGCAGCGACTTGCCTCCCGGCTTCTTCAGCACCGGACTACTCCTCAACCTATACCCTTCATGCCCAGGCAACAACGGCAAATGATACGCCGTATACAAACAATCATCATAGAGCTTCGTCTTTCCGCCATGCCTCTCCTTCACAAACGACGCCAACGAGCTCATCTTATAAGCCTGCGCCGTACAATACGCCGTCACTCTGGCCAACTTCTCCGCGCGTCGCGCCTTCGGCAACCTCTCCGCATAGCTCTTGGCCTTCTCCGGAGCGACCTTCCTCCTCTTCATCAATTCCTCCTCCGCCAACAACGGCGCGATCTCATTATCGACGCCAAAATCCCCATCGAGCTTCTTCTGCGCCAGTAATGTCTGCCTCACCGAATCCGGGTCAAGATTCTTATCCTTCGCGATCTTCTGCACGAACTCCTCGTCCACCATCTCCTCATCCTCCTCTTCCCCTTCTTCTTCCTCGCGCAATTCGTCCCCGGCCTCCGGCAGAAGCACCAGCTTCTCACTGACTTTTGTTGTACGTGGGGGCAGTCGCGGCTGCGCTGCAAGTCGCTTCATGGACGCTGCTGTGCTGACCGCACTGCTTCCTCCGGTGGAGGAGCCCGCTCCGCCAGCACCGATTAAGCCGCCCGCGGCGGAAGCGAGACGGGAGCGCGGCCGCGCCCGGACGCCGCCTTGGGGTGGATGGCGCTGCTGCATGGAGGGGACGTCGGAGGTGTATTGGAGGACATTGTCGACTGTGATGAAACGGGTTGCGGGGGAGCGGCGACGACGGGGTTGAGTGGTTTGTTGGTCTCGGGAGTCGGTCACCTGGATGATGATGGGCGTGGTTAGTATAAGTTTTTGGTATAGATTGCGCCGGAGTGAGGGGGGGCAAGCAGGGGGGGTAATGGATGCTCACCAGGACATGAGGACTCCTTTGGCTTGGGCCACGCCCTCTGGCAGGGGTCATGGCTAATATACTGCTTTTTCTTTAGGTTGATAAATTGGTAGCGGTGATAGTATGGACGGCAATTGATAAGCGACAGACAGCAAGGGTCGAATCGGACGGATTAACGTCACCAAGCTGTGTCTGGCTTATCCGGTCGGTCGGGGAAAGATCTAGATTGGGATTGGCCGTTTGTGGTCACCCACACGGTGGGGTTGAGAGTAATGGACGGGGTTGTGTTATATTAGTCGCATCACAGGATCATTGAACTGGATATGGAGGCCATGGGATTAGGATGGAAAGAGAGCATGATGGAGGGAGAAAGATTCAAGGTCAATTGAGTATCCAAGCTCTGCTCTGGTCGCTGTCCACCGCCCTGCAAATGGGCCCGGCCGTAAACCCGATTGGGATGGACCCGATTGGGCATGGCGGGAACAGTAGACCATATATAGAGTGAACGGGAGCTATGTAGGACAGGCAGTGTATAATTTGAGGCAGAAGGATAGAATGTAGTAGACAATTAGTAGATAGCATAGAAGGGTATCTGGGTCTTATATTTACAATTCTGCAAATGCCTGTAATCTACACACCAGTGTTTAGTGTCTATCCTGAACACTCAAACTATACTGACAGCGAGCTCATCTACTCAAGAGAGCAGAAACTGGATACACTCAGATAAACCAAATCCATTCTTCGTTTAGTTCTGTTATAATACAAGCCTAGTAGGTAATAACTAACATGAATTTAAGAAAACAAAAATAAGCTGAAAGAAAGTCCTCCCTATCCTCATATACAATAGTCACCCACCAATCCCCACCCAACTACAACCCAAATATATACCTCCAAACACAGCCAAAATCACACTTCAACCACCACAATCCACAAATAACCATGCAAATCAGCCAGAATAATTATCCATCACAACAAATGAAATACAATGTCACCACCCCGAGTAGCATTTAAGAATAAGTTACGAGAATGACATCATCCCACTTACCTCAACTCATTCGCCCGTAAAATACCCCACATACCAGTACATACCAATACATACATACATACCCGCCTCCGTAAGGTATCCGAGTATACAGTTAGTAGCATGTAGCGTATCCCTACCTATTCGGGACCAATCGGCCACTCCAGCCACGTGCCGATAGTGGGGTGAGTAAGTTACTTATTTGGTAGTGAGGAGGAGGAGGAGGGATGGGAAGGAAGGAAAGAAGGGGAGGGAGGGGAGTGTTTTTTCCCCGTCCCTCCTTCTTTCAGTTCCTCCCCCCTCCAATTCAAACTCCGATCCTGAAGTGGTTTAGTAGTAGTATCTGTCATATGTAACTATACACGGTAAGTGTTTCCCTGGCAGGTCCTGCTAGTATCTTGTGTCGGTGATTGATGGGTGGGTGACGATGATCCGGGGTATAATAATACTACTCTCACTCATTGGTTCATGTTACTTGCTTCGTGCGTGTGGATGATTTTCAAGTGTGATCGGACTGGATGATTGACTGATTGACATGCTGATCATGTGTAATACCGATCAATGCTATAGGTGTTATTCGACTACTTGATAACTGCAGTGAACAGAAGAGTGTTTAGAATACCATAGAGTGTAAATCACTTTTCCAGGGTAGATGACTCTCTTTGTGTAGTATCGGAGTATATGGCGGGGTATTATCGACCAGATTGGGCTGGAATCTGAGCCCGAGGACCTAATCGGGCAATGAAAATGAGTGAGAAGCGACAGCAGCCACATGAGGGGCACGACGGACGGACGGTTCGTGTTGCACGGCACTTTTTGCGGAGTATCGGAACGGACTGGAAGAATGAGGGAAAAAAAGAGTGCGGGAATTGCCTCCGTCGGGCCATGATTCCTAGTCTACTTCTTACTACTAACCTGCTATTGCAGTTGAACTAGCTTTTGCTTACTGTAGGAACGGAGGCGACAGGAATGAAGATGGTGTATGAATCTTGTCTTTCATTGGTCTCTATCGAAGACTCCTTGCAGCGTCCTTGCTTCTTGCCCTCCATGACAGTCCGGCCTCTAATATGTACCCATTCCCATTACATGCATGCTCTTTGTCAGCGTGATAAGATGCAATAATATGCCCATCAACAAAGGAAATGATAAGGAAATTAACCAGATAGAAAAGGAAAAAAAAAAAAAAAAAAAAGAAAAAAAGAAAATTATCAAGCATCAACGACATCCACCTGGCCCCATAAAACGCCTCGAAGCACTTTTTCTGTTATCCGGCTTCGTCATGCTAAACAAAACAGACACAATGGTAGTCGAAAAGGAGCAACATCGTGGAATAATAACAGGAACCCCGTTCTGTCAATGTCCGGGACCAGACACCATAAAAAACAAGGGTCGAGAAATAGATAAGGAATAAATTCATGCAAATGCCATGTTCTGTCGTTAGAGCCCACCTCGGAGCTGCTGATGTTCGGCCCATATCTCCTCCTTCATCCGCCGCAGACTAGTGTGCTGCCTCTGGAGCTTTTCCAAGTCGGCTCGCGACGGATTTTGTTGAGAGGCCAGTGCGTCATGTAAGGCGTGGTACTTGGCGTAGAACCGCTTGAACTTCTTGGACTTGTCGTGCAACTCCTGGATGGTAATTTCGCGGCGGAGGGGCGGCGAGGCGCTCCCAGTACTGCCACTGGACGTGCTCACGGCTCGCCGCCGTTTGTGTTCCAGATCCCCCGCAATACGTCCGGGAACTTGAGCTAGCGCTGCAGGCCGCTCAAGTTCCGCCTTGCGCTTCAGGGGATTGGTCACGGTAGCTGGTCTGGATACACCGTTGGTCTTGACCACTTTTCTCACAGTGGGCGCGCTCGCAACAGGCCTGGGCTTGTTGACCTGGGTTATGAGGGGCGATGATGACGAAGAACTTGAAGAATTGTTTTGGCTTGAAGAACGACTGCGATTTTGGATATCAGAGGCGTTGGTGGGGGGCGAGGACCCGAGGGGCGACGGTTTTTGAGGGGACTTCTGAGGGGACTTTTGCGCAGGAGGTCGCGAGGAAGGAGGCCTCTTTGCTGCCATAGGCCGATGTGACGCTTGGTCGATCGGCTCCGATTTAGGTGTAGCTTCTGGTTGCTCCACCTTCGGGGTAGGCGCATGAGAGGGTTCCCTGGGAGGGCTGGGCTTCTGCAGTTTAGTCTGCGGCTTAGGTTCAGCCTTTGCCTTTGCAGGCTGTGGCTTCTCAGTTGACGATGCATCTGGCAGGTCGGTGTCGTCCTCATCCGAGTCATGAACGAATTCCGCCGACTTGAACTTGCCCTCCGGTTGTTTCGCGGTCGTCTTCCGCTCCGCCTTCTTGGTGACGCGTCCCGTCAAGGTACTGTTACCCGCAACCTTGGTCTTTGCGGCAGTCCGTTTCGCACCGGTATCCTTGTCGCCGGGCCGTTTCTTCTGCGCGACCGTCCCAGATCTGGGAGCTGACGTCGGCTCACCCGTCCTTGGTGTTAGACCATTCCCACTAGCCTTGTCGGTCTCCTGACCCGTAGTGTAACCGTCCTTGCTATTGTCATCAGATGTTTGTACTTGTATCCGAGGTGTCGCAGCTTTCTTGATGGGGCCCGTCCGCAAGTCCAGGCGCGATAAGCACTTGCCCTTTCCGCGTTCTTCCTTGGGAAGAAGCATCTGCCAGAGCTTGTCGGACCGGGAAATTCGCAGGCGATCGAATGCAGAGATGGCATTCTCAATTGCCTCCTGCCGATCTTCCTGGGAGGGATAGGGAAATTTCCACACATCAAGCTCCCGATAGGTCTTATCTTTGAGATCGAACTTCTCCGGATTGATTCGGTTTTCGATGCCGTATTTCCGAGCCAGAGTCTCGCAGTCTTCGAGGGACGCGCGGGTTTGTCGCGCGAGGAATTTGGCGGAAACTGCCCGGACGGCGAGAAGGTGAATGAAGGGGACTTTGAGAGCTTCAAGGCGAATGCGATCTTTGTTTTGAGAAAGCGGAGCGGAGGTAGGTGTAAGCGGAGGTATAGATGCAGGTGATCGAGCAACTCCCAGAGCCGGGCTCGAGGAAACGGAGCGATTGGCATTAAGCAGTCGATCCTTTTCCAACTCCACCTTGCTTGCCGGAGCACGACCCAGACGAGCAGTCTGTTTTCCAGTGCCATGTCTGTCGCCTGCCCGCAAAGCCCTCACTTCATCAAGGCTTGTGATTATAGCGGTCTTCTTCGACTCTTTTCCTCTTTCAAAGGCATTCAGGCTTTGCTCCAAATCGGCCAATGCCTTATCGGCACTCGCGGTATCCTCCTTCGCCTTCTGGACCTCCAAGCTATGGCTCAACACCCCGCTGAAATATAGGTTTTCCTTGTCCGTAGAGCTGCCGCTATATAGCTCTGATCGACACGTCTCGGGGAGGGGATGGAATTGTTGGGATTTGGAGCCGTAGTAGAGAGTCGCATGTTTCCCCAGACGAACTCGAGCAGTCTGATCGTTCCGGAGGCTCTGGATCAGCTCATCAAGAGTATCCTGAGCTAGATTCAGCCGCATAATCTGAACGGGCTTGGTGGTAGCATCATTGCCGTGGTTGTCTCGGCAGAGAGACAACCCGGACTCGGGGACCTCGAGAGCCGGCATGAGGTAGGTTGGAGAGGGACAATGTAGAGAAATTCGGAGAGTTCAAGGTAGAGGGAGGGAGGAAGAGGGCGAGAAACGTCCGAGTCGATCGGAGACGAGGAATTGGGAGGAGGGAGGGATTCGAGAGTCGAAATACAGACGGTTGGCAGCGTGGAAGCCGCAGGTCAGCGGCCGAATGCACGGAAAGGCGTGTTAAGACAATACGCCATAAGATCAAGCAACGGCACTCAGGAAAGTGAGGGAGAGGAAGTCTGCATAAGAGGAAGCAAACGAAGAGTGAAAGCCAACAAGACCCATGGCAAGGAGGGTGGTCTTGAAGGTGTCGGAGAGTGAAGAGGGAGAGTGAGGGTGAATGGGTGTGTGGGTGTGTGGGAGGAAGAGAAAGAAAGAGAGACGGAGAGGGAAGAAGGAAGAGGGGAGGGTGAGGGGAAGAGAAAGAGAGGGAAGGGGAAGGGGAAGGATGAGATGAGATGATGCCAAAGGAACGGGGGGATGCGAGTGTAAGGCGGCCTTGGAGCGGAGAGTGCCAGTCGGGACAAGACCAAGAGGCGTGAGTATTGAGGTATTGAGTGGGGAGGAGCGGTATGGTATCGTTCAGGGTACCTTGCTCGTTTTGGTTCCAGAGTCCTGTAAAGTAGGGTGTCAAAAAAGGTTAACTCACTAACCCAAATGACCCGAAAATTATAATTATAATAATTATAATAAAGCCCAGAATAATAATAATAATAAGGGAACAACCCGACCCTCTAAGCCAGAAACAAAAATAAAAACAAAAAATGCCAAAGATTATTATTTTCACATTCATTTCTTTGAGGACGCTATCACACCCTGGGTTAGTTAGGCAGGCACTAGCCCAGCCAAAACACCAGCAGAATCCCAATCCTGGCCCTCCATCATACGGATCACTAATTAAATTTACCACTTATGTTAACCTGCAGACTCTCCCAAATACCTCCTGCGACAACATCCTCACGGCTGCTAAACTAACCTCCCCATCCTCCTCCCGAGCCTTTTTCTTTCTTTCGCTCTTTTTTTCTGTTTTCCCCTTTCCACTGCGGTACCTGCCTGCTGCCGTAATAGCCTCTCTGCTTCCGCGGAGAGAGCGGAGTTGGCCACCGCCGCGGGCACCGCTATTTTTACCGTAATAAAAGAGTACCTATGCACCTAGGACTCGACAAGGTATAGGGAAAGAAGAGAAAAAAAGACTACGTTTGATAGGCTGCAAGAACAGCAGTTTTAGGAGCGGGGAGGGGGGATTCAAAAAAGAAAAATAGAATAAACAACAAGGCGGGCAGGAAATGTGGCAAAGCCGAATGCAAGGTGTGTAGTAAGCCCGAGGCTAACAGCATCTAACTAGTTATCTACCATGGGGTAGAATAGTAGGTAGGTAGCGGGTGCCCTGTTCTTTGACGACCTGGCATCGTAGTTACCATAAATCTGACTTGCCGGAAGAATAATCCAAGAAGATACACGAATAATATTAGGAAAGGGAAAAGAGAAAGAAAGATAGTACGGCCACTAGTCTGGCAGACGGCCGACAGTATGGAGTCCAACTCTACTTCTCAAGGAGCAGGTGTCGGTGCTAAAGACTTTCTAAGGGAGGTAGTCTGATCCTTGACGGGGTCCTCAAGTGGATGGCATGGGATGGAAATGGAGCGGGTTTGCGTATTACGCAGACTTACCGGGGGGTGTTGTTGAGGTGAGGTGTGGTGTATGGTGTATGTATCTCCATTACAACTCCCCGGGGGCGTTTGATGGATGAAAGGCGGTTTGTTCTGGAACAATTGATCCCTACCAGCGATCGATCCGAGGGAAGCCCGGGATGCATCAAAAGTGACAAGGGGAAGACTCTAGCATCTATTTAATTCGACTATAGTCCTAAATATATTATTCCCTAGATACCCTTGTGTTTCTTTTTTTGAATGTCCCAAGTATAATGGAATGACAGTGGGTTTCACTTTATAATATTAGATTTCTTTACGAACCCTTTTTGCTTGTCTCGCATTCGTGCCTGTGAAAGGCAGCAAAAGGTCCAAGGCTAACTAGGTCATGGATGAATGAAATGATGCCTGGGTTTGGGTCCGATTACGGGCCCGGTAATTTTTACCCGGAGGTGTGTGTGTGTCGTAATTCTGTTCAGTTGTACGACGGACTGACTCCATTCTAGGTGGTGGTGGTACAAAACGGGAACTACTTGTTCGACCACCCTTTACTGTAGCTCACTAGCCAGTTAGTGAGTGAGTTAGCTGGGAGTCTAGCTACTTTCTTACGCCATGGCCATGCCTCTGCCACCCAGTGTCCCCACCACCCACTGATGACAAGAATGGGTCACATCGGCCATTGATCCATCTGGAACCACTCCTATCGTCTCCTGCTGCCTGCCTTGATCGGGTCGTTTTCTCCTGGCTAACTCACTAGCCAAATAACACTGGAGGGTGAGCCTCATCATGGGGGTGGTTGCTGCAGCAGCAACAGCAGCCAACAGTTCAAGAATCCATGGATAATTATATTAATCCTTGTTTTTAGACAATATGATTCGGCACCGGATATAGAATAAATCAAAGACGAGAAAGGACGTCAGTCAGAAAGTGTCCCAAAGTTTAAAATGGAGTCGCACTATTTTCTGAAGAGTCGCGGCCGGTAATTTAATTAACTTAACAATACCTTGTTGGCTGGCTGCTGACTGAAAGGGAAGCAGATTCCTAAGCAGGTTTAATACACGTTCGGCAGTGAATGGACAGTAAGGTGGTACTGGAATTTTAGAAGAATTGAATGAATCAATCAATCAAAAGATAGAGCAAGAGATGTATGGTCGGGCAGATGACCAATACCAGAGTTTAGAACTGGAAAAGAGTGTCAGACTACTGATCTACTAACTAAATGGAAGAGAAAAGATGCTATGAGATCAGATATCACAGAGGAAAAGAGAGTGTGTGCCTTGCTTGGATTACACTTTTACCAGTCATCCGAACGGTTTCTCGCATCCCATGATTCAGACAATACCAGGTACCGGCGTTGTCACCGGATCGTTGCTTGATCCAGTAATGAAACTGAAAAGCTGAGCCACTGGTTCAGCTTGACGGCAGATCACCCGCCGACCAGCCTCGACCCTTTCTTATTTCCGGCGGATGATCGGAAGGGGAAGGGGGAATTTCCGTAGGGGAAAAAAAAAAGAGGAGGGAGGTGGGAAGCAGGAAGGGTGGTTCCCAGATTACCGGTTGGTAAACCCGCGCGACATCCCGCACCGCCAGGAGAAGGGGAGAAAAAAAAAAAAAAAAAAAAAAGTCAAAAACAAAGATAACACAAGAGGGAAAAAAAGAAAAAGAAAAAGAATGCAAGATGGTAAACCTGCATGGACAGGGCACTTGCTCTCGTGCAGGCCAAACTTAATACAGAGGTACGAGCAGCACAAATCGGGAGGTGATGGTCCAATCTCAGACAGCCCAGAAACCACACGAGTTTCCTAGTCGGGGTTGGATAAGCTGGTAGGTCACGGGGAGGTAGAAGTGGTCACAATCGGACTGCTCCTTTTATTTTATTTTGTTTTATCTATCGTTACCCCGATTGAACTATTGCTCTACTAAAGGTGCCGAATGGAAGGAGAAATTCAAGCGCCGGAATTAATCATAAGGTCGCAGGACATGGAGAGATCGCGGAGATTGAAAATCAATAACGGAGTATGATGGGTGGATGATGATGAGGATGGACATCAAATCCCAACTCCAGGTTACAGTCCGGCCGAGGTTCTAATCGAAACAAACCAACCAACCAGATGATCCTCCCACTGGGAAGGGATCTATTGGCTAAGAAGATCTCTCCTGCTGATGAAGATTTAAGTACGATGTCCGTCCGTTAGTCAGTACATGGAAGAGGGGGGTGGGATCAGGGCAGGGGAGAATGGAAACGAGAAAAAGGAAAGAAAAAGGTTTCATCTAGAGGGAATAATTGGTCCCCGGCTTCCCAGAAAAGGATGGACCGCCCTGTGATCATTCCAGTTCAGTAATGAAGGGGTGAACGGTCAGCTCTCTTTCTTGAAGAGCTTCTTTCTTCGACTCTAGTGTCTGAACATAATGCATACAAGGCATCCACTATGGTCTTTGATCAACCCGGTGTTCGCTCATCAATCGCTTCATTGCTTTCTCTCGAGGCTATCTTGCACCTCCCCGATCGGGTGTTATTTCCGTCACCGTTTCTCGTCCTGGGATTCGTGTATCGACAGACAGGCGATAGTCCAGTTAAGCAAGGCTCATCCTGACCAGGTTCCTGTAGGGCCGGTACATCGAAAAGGTGGGGAAAGAATGCGCACAGGACCTTCAGAGTTCAGACGTCGAGCGATCAGGGAAGAGTCAAGTCACATACATCAATTGACGAGAAATGGAAAGTAACTACTGTCTACCGCGCCAGCAGCTCAAAACGGGCGCAACTAACACCCTGTAGACAAACGACTGCATCAGCATGACTTGGGCATTCAGTGTCATGCATGTTAGGTAAGGTGGATGTGTATTCGAGTATTTCCTACTACGTACTATACACACGCCTGCGCACGCTGGGCAACCGGGCAGCCTGAACTCGTGTTGATGATTGGCGAGGCGTTTCCACGTGTTTTGAGCCCCGGCGAGTGGATGTGGAAGTGGAAACTGAAGGTCGCCTCGACGTCGAGTCATAGACAAAACGATACAATAGGATGACCTTGCAGTAAGGCAGGAAGCACTACTGACTACTAACCAGAATGGAGTAGTACTATCACCTCCATTGAATGAACCAAGTAAGTATATACACTCTGTGACAGTCAGTAAGTGTCCAGCATTTGCCACTGCCGCTTAGACCATCACAGGGAATGGGCCCTGCATTACTCTGTCGGAGTTACTACGAGGCGTAGCAGACATACTAGCCAGAGAAGCAGCAGCAGCAGTAGCATGCAGCTGCTGTGGCTTGCCCTCATCATTCCTATTTCCCTCTCTGACTTATTCTTACACCTGTTTTGTGTTCTGGCTGTCGGTGACGTAATAGGTTATCTGAACACCTTCAAGCAACAGTAAACTGCTATCCCCTCATGATCCAGATATTTTTCCATGATATAATCTAGTAGTTAGCTAGCTGGCTAGTATGTCTAAAGTACTATAGGTATAACAACCCAAAGAAGGAAGAATGACACCGTCACTCAGCATGATGCATCCAACCCCATCATCAGGAATGCAACCCCCAAACATGACTAAGTAAGTAACCGAGCTTCATTTTCCCTTTCCATCCCTCCCAGCCTACTGGAATAGGCATACACGGTGGGCTTTGACTGTGTAAGTTCAGATCATTGTGAAAGTTCCCGCCCGAACGGGAAATGCTGGAGGGATGATGGCTGGCTGGGAAATTGATCATTGGTGGGCCTGATTTCATGCGAGGGGAAGGGAAAGCAGACGGACACAATGAATACGGTATGAGTATTTCACCACACTACCACCAAAATAACTTACAATACATATATTACAGGACTGACAATGGAGCCAGCCATTGCCAGCACATCATCGACACAGCATCACATCCTACACCCTACCTAGTAGCTAGTTAGTTAGTTACCAGGTTGCTGTGCTTACCAGTACTAAGAATAACTGTGCTAACTAGCTAGTTGACTTATGTATCAAGTAAGCAGAGCCCCTCATAATAAATAAATCACATTCGATTCTAGGCAATAAAGTCCAGAAATACTATGAATAAAGTGAAGGAAATAAAAAGGGATCAAAAAACAACGACAAGACAAGACAAGACTCGAACTCGATTCATTCCCCACACATCCACACCTATATCCACACCCACCCTCGAAACTAATTAGTACGTAGTTAGTTATCCAACTAACTAACTATTGTAATCTACCTATCTTTACCCCTTTCCCCTAAGATACAAAGTTTAGTTAACTTATCTCTCTCTACCCAAGTTACATACTAAAGTAGTCAGTAAACAAGCTCCTAACTATCTTTCTTGACTTCTTTCTTTCTGTAGTCATCTGCAGTGAAACAAAACACCCCCCAATGCCCAAGCTCTCTCGAGTCAGCCAACTCAACCAACCATACATAGTTAAAAGTAGACTACTAGTGATCCAGCTGAAACGTGCCAGGACCCTCCTGGTTTGCTTTACCCCTGTCTCATCATCATTATCACACCCCCTCATACATACATTGAAAATAGAATCCTACCTTCCCCTCCCCTACTCCATGAGCCAAAACCGCTCTACTACATGCGTTCGTTGATCCGGATGACTCTTACCGGGATAGCCGATGAACATTGATGATCCTTACTATTAATCTATTTTAGGAGGGGGGTGTTGTGCCGTGGGACGGAACTGTTATTAGCGAACAAACAGCGAACTGGAGTAGCCTGAGTAAAATGTTCTATAAATAAATAAATAGCAGGATAGCCGGGGTACTGCAGTGGTTAGTAGTAGTATTGAAGAAGAGCTAAACTGCAGTGCAGTGCAGTGCAATTTACCCCATAATTAGTTATTTAGTTAGTTAGCAACTCGAAAAAAGAGCAGACAGTAGATAGTTAATAGAAGAAATAGATCTGCAGTGTCTTACATAGCCACACCTCTACCTACCTAAGTAAAGAAGGGAAACGAAAATGAGGCTGAGCAGTGCACTCAGCCTGGCAGGGCATTCATTCATACCTAACTACCTAGTTACTAACTACTAGGGTAAATTATTATTATTATTATTATTAGGCTAGTTAGTTTCGGTTCATTCCTTTACCATCACCGCCACAAACAAGCAATGAAGCAAACAACCACTTGCGGAGGTACTACTGTAGAAAACCACAGAAAAAAAAAAAAAAAAAAAAAAAAAAAAAAAAAAAAAAAAAAAAAAAGAAAGTAGAGTCATCAATTGTGAAGCAATAAGCGATACAGCCGCGCTAAGCTGGTATGTATTACTTCTACCTATCTACACAGATCCAACCATTTCTTACATAGGAGTAACTAATATACATAACGCAGTCGCATTGGAATGAATAGTGAAATTATTTTAACCAGTCAATCAGTCAAACAATCAGGGTATTATCCAAAACATTCATCTACCAGAACAATAATCCCAATCAAAACAAAGTAAGCCAAAAGAAAAAAGAACAGTTACCCTAGCAATCATCATCATCCCACACCCCCAGGAGTGGAGAGAGAGGAAGCTAACGATCGATATAGTATAAAGACCGGTAACCGGGGCCCACTTTACTTCAATCACCCATACCCAAGATACATACATACATACGTATGGTGTACCTTATGAGAGAAGAATAATGAAAGATACAGTATACTAGATAATTAAGGGTTACTATAGTTATTATCAAGGCAAACACCGATAAATCATACGAGAAAGAGAGAGAGAGATCTCCAGATTCGATCCAAAAGATTGCAGTAAACCAGGCAATCTACCCATACATAACTGACTTAGTCTACTGATCTCGGATGACTGTGCCCGAAGGAAGGTGCCTTATATGATATGACATGATATGATATGACTCAGGGGCTATTTTCTTACTTACTTAGTTATCACTCTACACTGTACTAACTAGTAGTAGCTGATTGTTACAAGGCACAATCCAATCCAATCCCCTCCCAGCCTCAGGAACTAAATTCAAACTACTGTAATGTACGTATGTAGCAGTAACGCGACATTTTCATGCCTCTATACCAATTAGGCATCATACTCCTGATAGATCGAATCTTTTTTCTTCTATGGCTCTCATGAAAAGAAGGCCAACTCATACAATAGTTAGTACCTTTCCTGCTTGCTTCACTCGTGGTGGCTGGGAAGCACAGCAAGATCTGATCTGGGCTATCTACTATCTACACCGCTACATGTCTCGCCCGACTCGTGCGGTGCGTTGCGTTGGTGTGGCGACAGATCCTGTGCGGAAAAGTATGTATGTATGTATGTATGTGGGTTTGCCTGCCGGCTCGGTACTATGTGACCTGTGGTTTCGGAGGGTCCGGATGTGATGGATGTAAATGGTCTAGGCCTAAAGTACTTAGCATCGTTGGGTGAAAGTCAATTGCAATGATTACGAGTCATGCTGGACAGCAATAATGTCATCCAAATCGTTGAAACTTGCTTAGATACTTAGATATGCTAATGTCACACATGGATATCAGTACAACGGGACGCCAATCCCTGATCTACGTTTTTTATGAGCAAATGGTCCCCTCCCTGGCTGCTCATTTAACCGGTGATCTTGTAGATGGACTCGGCGAGACGCTTGACGTTGCCGCTTGTGATACCGGCCACGGAGATACGGCCGTCCTTGGTGGCGTAGACGGAGTGCTGGACGGATTAGTGTGAAGAAGAGATACAACGGATTGAAGGCTGCTTACCTCCTTGGCCAGAGCGTCCATCTGCTCGGGCTTGAGACCAGTGTAGGCGAACATGCCGATCTGTCGCATGTCAGTAATTACTCATCTCAACCATGGTTCCGAATCTTACCTGGCTGGTGATGTGAGACCAGTCGTGCTTGCTGCCAAGCTCCTCCAGGTTCTTGCGGAGGAGAGCGCGCATCTCAATGATGCGGTCGGCCATGCCCTTGACCTCACCCAGCCACTGCTCGTTGAGCTTGGCGTCGTTCATGATGGTCGAGGCGATGCGGGCACCGTGGATGGGAGGGTTGGAGTAGAAGGGACGGATGAGGATCTTGATCTGAGAATCCACACGCTTCTTCTCCTCGGCGGACTCGCAGACGAGGGAGAAGGCACCGACACGCTCGCCGTACAGACCCTATATATCACTTAATACTGAATCATACACCAAGTCTGGTTATCAGCTTACCATGTTCTTGGCGAAACTCTGGCAGAGAGCAATGTTGTGGCCCTCCTTCACGAAGTGACGGGGAGCAAAGGCATCCTGGTCAGCGTTACCACTGGCAAAGCCCTGGTAGGCCATGTCGAAGAAGGCAAAGTGACCCTTCTGCTTCATGACGTCGCTGATCTGGCGCCATTGGTCCTGGGTGGGGTCGACACCGGTGGGGTTGTGAGCGCAGGCGTGGAGAAGGATGATGCTGTTCTCGGGAGCAGCCTTAATGTCGGCCAGCAGACCCTCGAAGTCGAGGCCGATGGTGTCCTTGTTGTAGTAGCGGTACTGTCCGACCTCCAGACCGGAGTCCTTGAAGACAGCGGCGTGGTTGGCCCAGCTGGGGGTGGGAAGGTAGACCTTCTTCGCGTGAGGGTAGAAGCGCTGCAGGAAAGCACCACCGATTCTCAGAGCACCGGTACCGGAGATGGTCTGGGTGATGACGAGACGGTCCTCCTTGAGGACGGCGGAGTCAGAACCGTAGGCCAGCTCAGCAGCAGCCTTGGTGAAGGCAGGGATACCGGTGATACCGGCGTATTCCTTGTCGTAGCCGGAGGCGACAACCTTGTCCTCCGCAGCACGGACGGAAGGCAGGACGTAGGGCTTGCCCTTGTCATCACCTATTTGATCGCAATGGATTGTCAGAACAACTGAACGGTTGGAGGTTGGTTGTTTGGCGTGATCGAACGATGGTATGGTTGGATAGTTAAACTGAAACAGGGTGATGCTTACGGTAAGCACCGACACCCAGGTTGATCTTCTCCTGGAAGGTGTCGGCCTTGTAGGCCTCGGTGATACCCAGGATGGCATCCTACAGAGCCAATGAATCAGCAATGGCATCACAACAGCAATTGGGATATATTGGAGATCTTACGGGAGGACCCTGAGGCACGTTGGACCAGGCGGAGGCGTGTCTGGCGCCGACAATAACGGTGCGCACACTAGCGTCACGGGTAGCAGCCTTACGGCTGGCGATTCTGAGGGTGGACAACATGGTTTATGGAGGAGGATTGGACAAGAGAAGAGAGGAAAGAAAAGGAGGAAATGAGCAAGCACTCCAAGAGACCAGGGAGGGAGATGATCAGGAAGAAAAGGACGGGGGGGGGGGGGTCCAAGAAGCTGGCAAGCAGTACTTAAAGGGAAGGCTGGAATCGGGGGAGGAGACAAGCGGGAGAGACGAGGTCGGCGATAGTTATTTTATTTTTTGAGTCACTGGAAACTGACTTGGGACTAGTCTGGTTAGCACAGTAGGGAGTTTCCGGGGAGAGACGCGGGAGGCCTCGGATTGGCCACGTCCTCCGCATCGCCAGCAGCTGACTTGGTTGCTTGTTTGGCTGGTTTGCATGGAACATTACATTATTGATGTGGCAGCTGCAGAAAGCAAGTACGCTGCACATATCTCTCGGATGTACGGAGTAGCATGGATGTAGTATATCTATTTCATCAATGACATCTGAATGCCATTGTCTATCTCTACTAAATGATTGATTACTATCCGACACAACAATGAACACCACTGAATGAGTTGTCAATGTCATCATCACGGAGAGCGTGGACTCCCTCCTTGACAGATCGCACCACAAATGATGAGCCCGTCCCGCTCGCCCCGGTGAACTGTTTTAGTATCGAGGGAAAATCATGGATGGGCTGAGGTTGGTCTTCCCCTCACGAGGAGTTGGGGTAATTACTATCTGTTCAATCGGAGACAATTATCCTCCTTGTACCACTTACCTTTAACCACCACCATCACACCATCAATCATATAAATCTGCAGCATTGACTCCATTTCCTCCTGCTAACTACAGTCTCACTTTTCTCGATTTTGGTAGCTTTACCACAAGATCTTGAATAGCTACCCACACAACCATGGTTGCTTGCACTCCACCGCCTCGGACAATATCACTCGGCCTCGGTTAAATTCCCCCACACGCCAAGCCTATCCCGATTCAATAGCTCTGCTACACCATCGACGGAGTATTGAGGACGTCCTGCAGTGTCTTCGGAGCACCGAGTCCATCTTACCTCTCTATCCATCCATCATCGGACAAAACCGCGTGCTGCTGGCTTGCTTGCTTTATCTTGACCCAAAAACCAGGTCGATCTATTGGAGATAGATAGAATAATATGTGACGTTCTATTGGTATAATCTGTACAAACATCGCATAGCCTAGAATAATATCTGCTGAGGATCATTAATGTGCCTCCTGAATAGAGGTCGTTCGGTGAAGGGTCATCATCTACTACAACAGTCCGAGAGAAGCAACACCTCTCTCAGCCAAGTCGCACACCGGCCTGGCGGTTCTTGCGCGCTGTCGCTCCCATGGCGTTGTTCATGCCCGTGTGTTGACTGCTGTCCAGCGCACTCATCGCCTCGCGCTTCTTCTCTTCTTCGATCTTCTTCAACCGCTTCTCCGTCTTCATCTTGCCACTGCCCTTGCCGTGGAATTGATGACTGAGATGCTTGAACGCTTCCTTCTGGTTCATCGCGCGACCATGCTCATCCACGTACTTGAGCTGCACATCCGGCTTGTATTCGCGGTTGAAAACCTCTGCCATGTGTCGCGCCTCCTGCTGATCGCGCTGCTTGTTCTCCCACCGAGCGTATTCTTCTCTCTCGCGCGCTGACATCCGGTCCAACTTGCCCGAGGCACGATCGCGTTCACGCTGCTGCCGGGCGCGTTTCTCTGCTTCGGTCTCCATGCGCATCTTCTCCTGCAGGAAGCGATGGCGGTCGCGCAGCAGAGAATTGTTGTCTGCGGCGTCGGATCCCTTGACCAGACCACGCTGTTTGAGCATGTTCAACGTAGCACCGAGACCTTGATCCAGAGTCGCTTCCTCGTCCAAACCTGTAGTGCTGATCTGTTGCTGGGCCTGCGACTCCTCGCGCTTGATCCGTTCCTTGAGATCTTCCTCGTCTTCGATATCATTGTAGGTTCCCATTTCCACATCCTCGTCCTCTGCCTTGATGCTGGGGCCTTCACTCTTGGCACGTGACTCCTCGGCGGGCGTCGTGGTTTGTCGCTCACGGCGCTCTGGAAGGGTAGGTTTCTGTAGGTTGGAGACAAACTCCGAGGTTTCGTCGATCACGAGGCCGGGCTCTTCTTCGTTTCCATCGGGGGTGCCGGTTTCCATCGGCGTTTGAGAACCCTCTTCTCTAAGCTGTCGAGCAAGATCCTCCGGTCGCACTTTTTGTCGCTTCTTAAACGCAGCACGTCTCTGGCGGGTAAGCGAGGCCTGTAGATCGTCGTCATCGACAAACGAGACATCTTCACTTGCCCACTTCTTGGGGGCGGGCGCGGGTACGGGTGTTCCGTTATTGGTATCAACCTCCATGGCGTTGTCATTCGGGGTACTCGTCGACTCGGTCGTAGGAAATAATTCGTCGTCATCAATAACAGCTCTCTGCTTCGTAGCCTTCGCCTTCTTCTTCTTGGGCTTCTTGATCTTGATCTCGCTGATATCCATGTAGTCGGACGCCGGTGTCGTCGTCTCCGTCTCCAGATCCAAACTGACGATGTTCTTGTTCAATTTTCCCGACACCTCCTGTCTCTTTGCCTCCCGCTCCTCCACCGTAGACCCTTGAGCATCCAGAGTAAATCGTTTTCTCTTCTTGCCATCAATCTCCTCGTCATATTGTGCCAGAATACTCGAGTTCTCTTCCGTAGGATCATACGCCGGCTTCCGTTTCTTCAACTCTGTCCGCTCCGTAGCCTTCTCCCTCTCCCTCAAATCAACATTTTCCAACTCATCCCCCTCCTCCTCATTCTCATCGATTGTCGCATCCTTCAGCGTGAGAATATGATCCTCGCCGCCCTCGAAATCGCCCACCTCATGCCCAACCTTAATGCCAGCCAGATCGACCGCCGTGTATTCCGCCGCACGTTCCCGTTCCTCCAGCTCCTCCGCCAGCTTGCGCGCCCGCTCCTTCTCGATCTTCTTCTGTCGCTTCTTCGCCTGCATCAACCACGCCTTGGTGTCCTGGTCTGCATCGCCCGATTCACCCAGCGTGGTGCCTTGTAACTTAGCATCTCTCTGCGCCAGCTCTCGTGCCCGCTTGATCGCAGCGTTTCTCTCTTCCCGTTTCCGTTTCGCCTCGGCATCGTCTTGCATCTTCTTCCAGTTGGATCCGGCCATCGCTTCGCGCGACTCGAGGGTACTGGCGGGGTCTTCATCTTCGGAACCGGACGAGTCGTCGGAGTCGTCTTCATATTCGGCGCCAGGAACAGGCAGGGGTTTTAATCCGAGCGCGGCTCGGATTTTGTTGTTTTGCTCGATGGAAACTGCGTCGGCCATGGTGGCGACAAATACAGAGGAAAAGATGAAGATGGATACAGAAGGTCGGTGGGTAGGTGGTGAGGAGGTATCGTCTTCAACTGATGGAAAGTGAAGTTGAAGTGACGGGATATGAGATATTCAACCCGCCGCAGCGGCGAACCTGACCTGACCTGACCGACCGACCAGCCAGCGGGCGAGCGAGCGCGCGGCAACAAGCACTTACCTAATCAGCACCTATCTCGGTAAGGTTTAGCGCGACAAACTCTTAGCGCGAGCTTGGCGCAGCGGATAAAAGGCGGCTTCGTCGATTTTTTCTCTTCTTCTTCTTTTTCTTTCTTTTCTTCAGAACATGAACAAACACGGATCTGTGTCTAGCGATCCCGTTCATGGAGGGTAGCAGTTTCGGCTGTTTATTTCTCTGTGTTTCGGTTGAACGCTGGACAGTTCGACGACTTAAGGAGCCATTCATCTTGTGGATGGTTTTTGCACTTCCGGTCGACAGATCTCAGATTAAAGGTTGGCGCTGGGTGTTCACTCTGGTCTTGAGCTCCCATCTTGGTGAGCTCGGCTGGAGAACCTGGTTGCTGACGGCGTCATATTCCTACTCCCTTTACCGAATTGACCGTCGGTCACTGAGGTCAGGGAATAACCATGACCTGCCAACATTCCTATCATTATAATTTATGTATGTAGTTGTAAAGATGTAAAACTGTGCGCATACTATATGAGTGTGCTTGGGGCACCACTTGAACCGATCAATATGTCGGCTAGCGTCTATCAAGAATGGACGATGTAGCATGCTCGACATGCTACTAGAAAAAGATTATGCCATAATGCTGAACCGAAGGATGAAGCACATCGCATCGCGAGACCCTTCTCCAAAACGCCATATAATATCATATCTCAACACACCGACCCAACAATCCCGCATGATCTTTTCACTGCTACACCCATAACACCCCCAAACCGAACTTCGATCGATATAGATACGGAGTAAAGAAAAAAGTTTACAACAACTTCAAATGCCCCGTCACCGAATCCACCACACTCTTGGGACCCAAAACCCCCAACACCGTGCGGCTCCCACTCGCAATCTGCGTCCGTCCAGCATCCGTAATCACCCTGGCGCAAAGTCCCAGACTAATCGCCTTAGCCTGCATCTCCTCCATCTCCTCCTCCGACTTGACCTGCAGCGCGATCTTCGCCTGACCTTGCGATTCCCACCGGCGCAGGATGCCGCTGTTCGGCGTGTACGCTGTCAGGTACTTGTAGCATGCGAGGGTAGCGTGCGAGCATTGGGCGGCGATTTTGCCTGCAACAGTATCAAACATATTAGCATGCGCTCATAAAACACAAATACAATATCCATATCCATAGCCAGAGACATCGATATAATATTGTAGAACTGAAGACGGGGATATGCTTACCCTTCGTCATACCCAAATCCGTCCTCACGACAAGCACCAATTTCACTTCTTCATTGGAGCTGTCGAAGTTGGCGAGCTCCGTGCCGTCGCCTTCTTCTTCACTGTCCTCTTCTTCTTCAGATTCGTAGTCTTCGTCCGACGAGTCTAGGTGCGGTTTCACGTTGTAGCTGTTCGGCCAGCCTTCTTTTTCTTTGTTGCTGAAAAGACCGAGGCTGCTGCCTTGGCCGATGAAGTAGCCGGTTATACCAGCGAGGATGGCGGTCGCGACCACGTAGGCGGCTGTGGAGGGGGTGGTGCGGTCGAGGTCGGACATTTTGGGATTGATTGTTCTCTTGGGGGTGGGTGTGGAGGGTGGTGGTTTGGTAGAGGGATTGAGTGGTGGTTTTGCGATAAAGGCGGAGCGGAGCTGGATGTTGCTTGGTCGGCGGTGACGTTAGCGGGCCGGGTGGTTGGTTTCTACGATTGATTAATTGATTGTTTGAGACAGGTTAGTTGGGAGCTAGCTATGTCTCTACTATCTCTATTGGGGTTGTTGAATACGTATTGATATGCATGAAATATTGTGGAAAAATAAATTGTTCTAGAATGTTGGTCTGCTTACTGTATTACAACTGTTAGAGGCATCAACCCAAACACCGCAATCCAATTTGACAGGCGCTCTGCTTCATTATATACACATCCCAATCATTTTAAAAGAACTGCTATCTTCCCTTAACAGCACGTCTAGTTCGGACGAGGAGCGGGCGCGCCGCCGACGTTTCCAAGGCGACGGCTCCTGTGACACATTAGTAGCAGATCGCAAACAGAAAGAATGCGATCAGAGCAAGACAACTTACATGAAGGTACGGCTGAAGAAGCTGATGCCGATCATGAAAAGCCAGCTGGGGATGGCACTGAAGCCGTAGATGACATATCCAAGAGGGAGCAGAAGGTTGTTCTGAGCGAGCCAGCCGTCCGTGGGGTGAAGAGGACCGTCGTAGGCAGGGGCCTTCTCCCAGACCTTCTCAGAGTGGACCTTGTAGATGGTCTCCGGGGTCACGGTGGTCGAGTTCAGGTAGACGGTGTGGAGGGGAGTGTTGGGGCGCTCCTCACCAAGCTGGGCCTGGGGCACCTGGAGGAACCAGACCGAAGGAGCACCGGCACCCCAAGCAGAGCAAAGGACCTTGTTCTTTTCGCAATCCAGCTTACCGAGGTTAGGGGAGGTGGGATCGGCGGAGAACAAAAGCACGGATTCCTAAATAGGAGGATTATTAACGACTATTGTTATGAAATCGAGTGGGTGCGCCCCCTTTTTCTAGGGCTTGCTTACATTGAACGCTTTGTCTGCCTTGTCACAGCGACCGAAGCAAGTCTTGTTTCCTCCGGTGATGTAGACCAACCAGTCCTGGGGCTCCGAAGCGGGCTCCAGGTAGGACTGCCAGTTGGTCAAGTTGAACTCGGAGACGGTCTTCTCCTGGATCTTGGTCTTCTCGACGACCTTCTCAACAACGGCAGCGGCGGGGGCGACCGGGGTGGCAGTAGGCAAGTAGGACTTGGCCTTGTTGAACCAGCCCTGGACACGGTCCGCAAGGGGAACCTGCTCCTGAGCCACAGCGAGCGCTGGGAGGAGGGCGACGACCGGGGTGAAGCGCATGATGCTGAAGCAGTTGATGACGCGTGGTCAGTATAGGGGGGTTCGAGGGAATCTATCACATCCAAGGGATGGATGGATGGATGGAAGAGAAAACCAACCTGAGCTGTTATTGAAGGAACGGGCGCACTTTGGAAAGAAGAAGAATTTCAAAAGCCAAAGTACGGGACAGCAGGCAGCTGGGGAAGACAGGCACTTGGGGATGTTGAAGGTCGAGTGAAACGGCGAGAGATGTAAGCGTCGGCGACAGGTGGCCTAACTCTAAATGGCCGCCCGAGGATCCAACCGCCGCGGAAGCGGGGATTCCGCCTTCTGGAACACTTTTAGCTTGACAGATTCGATTGCACTGGATTCTGCGCAGATTGTGGATGCAGATACCGTACAACTACGTACTTGTCTACTAATTAGGGGGTGCATGTCTTGCATGTTCCCTGAGACTCTTTACAATGGCATTGTTGACATGTTGACACGCGGCAATTCAGTGGATCTGTGGAGCTGTGTAGCATCCGGACAGCTTCACTAAACAATGCGATGTGCAACCACAACAAATAATCTCCATATGGAGATAGGGTGGTATTAACGGTAATCTAGGAGATTTAACGAGAAGCGAAACAAAAGAAAAAGCAAATATGGTTGCTTATTTGATTATGACAGACACAGCATGCTGTTGTAATGATAGTTGTGCCGCTCGATCATGCTGAGATGCTCGCTGTTTCCATGAGATGCACTCCCTGCCACCATGGCACCTTCCTTAGTATCATTTACTTGCATCTGTCGGTAGCAATGTGGCAGATGCAGTATTGCAGCGACTGACAGATGCAGCTCTATGCAACTCATCGCTAGATGCAATACTTCAATAGTTTACTGCATCCATATTGTACCAAACCAAACCAATCTATCCTCAATCAAGAAACCCGCCTTCGTTGTCAAGTGTGATGCAAACCTGGAAGAAAGCTGGGGCCTGTTTACTAGTCCTAGCAGCCATGGCTTGTTTCTCATTCGGTGAGGTCATCTACATCGTCGCCGGAAAGAATGGGGCTATTGTCCACTCCAAAGGTATCTTGTCTCAAAAGGGCAATGGTCTAACATGGCTTACTCGTTCAGCGATGACGGAGAGAATTGAGCCTCCCCCAAACACAACCATGGCGATCCGACGATCTTCCCCCACACCGGGTGATTTCCCCATCTGTAGGGACCCTCATGGCGCTGCCCGACCATTCTGTCTCCCAGAGAATGGTGCAAATGTGACGGTTGGTGGGACTTACTACATCACCTGGGACGCGGACTTTTATCCTCTGAATGCCACAATCACCATCGAACTGAGATATACGGACTCTATAGAAGGGGATTCGACATTTACCTCGGACAAGACGGACAACAGCTACGGATATACTCACATCCATATGCAGCAAGAATGGCTTCAAGGAAAGCAGCAGAACCCTCTGACGCTTTACATCATCGAGCTGGACTCGGTGTCAGATAAGCGGGCAAGTGCCCGACGGGGTCCAACCGTTGTTCTTCACCCCAAGCCAGTGCAGCATCGCTTGTTTCCTCGACCGACTTCCTTCAACAAGTTGGGCCTGTATATTGGCCTCCCAGTGAGTCTCAGCGTGGTCATACTCGTTGTTGCTGGTCTCTACTTTGGCATGCGAGACAGCCGGCGAATTGATCTGGGGAACATCGGGGGCCCGGGGTATGGCATTAGAAAGTCCAAGGGTCAGCGTCTAGGTCGTAACCGGTGCGAGTCAACGTCGGAGAGAACTGTGGAGGAGACGAGCTCGGACATCACCGAAGTCGCCCAGCCCGGCCGAAAGGGAGCTTTAGAGGGAAGTCTCAGCTTTGGGGTCAAGCGTGATTCGTCGAAAACAAAGGGCTGGCAGGTGTAATTCAAGAGCATAAGAGCAGTGCGGCAAGACTAAGGCATGCAGGATTTGGTGCGCGCTTGGCCCAGTTGGTGGCAGGCTTTAAAAGTATTGTATAAACGAGCCCGTTCACTGGTATGACTGTTATTGGACTAGTGTCTGCAAGAAAGACTAAAATCTCACGCTATCCTTCAACCAGAATAGGAAAGAGAACGAATGCAGTAGCCTAGGAGATAAAGAGTTAAAATGATACTTTTAGAGGGTTTAGTGCCGGAGCATCCCACCCGCCATTACATAACCCACGGCTTCTCTACAGCAGCCACAGTCTATACTAACTATTCTCCCACTCACCATGTCCGGGGCATCCCCCCGTCGCAACGCCTCCCACCTTGATATAGTTGGTTTGTGGAGTGAGCGATCCCTCAGCCGCCATGGATAAATTAACCAGGAATGACTCGCTGGGCGAGTTCGTCTGTCGCTTCCCCAACTGTGATGCCCGATACCGGCGCAAAGAGCACCTCCGTCGCCATGAGGCCAAACATATCCAAGATCGGACATATCCCTGTTCCATCTGTGGTCAGGAATTCGGACGAAAGTATACACAAAGCTAGCTTGCAGCGCGCAAGGCTCCTGCGTGCTTGTTGTTCTGTCATTAGTAACGTGCGTTAGTGACACACTGCGGCGACATCTACGAGTGAAGCATCAGTTGAACGAACCCGTCCACCGAGCTCGACGCGCCTGCTCCAACTGTCGAGCCATCAAGGCTCGTTGTGAAGGGAAGCCTGTTTGCACGGAATGTCAGCATCGGGGCATTCGCTGCTCTCTCCGCGAGGCGGAGGACTCCCCGGCGCCCGAAACCCGACCAGCGTCCGTGAGCCCGCGGCCAGCGGTGTCCAGAGAAGAACAATTTGTTAAAATGTTCTTTGAGTTGTTTCATCCGCATTGGCCATTTGTGCATCGGGGGACGTTTCGCATCCGCCATGAAATTCCCATGTTGGTCCAGTCCATGGTGGTGCTGGGCTTGTGGGCGAGTGGGGAGAGGAGCGCACGGTGTGCGGCTGTCGAGTTGCATGAGCAGCTGAATTCGGCGATTTTGCAGCAGAAGGTTGGTGCAAATATTTGTAAATCTGTCATAAAGGCTAATGCAGTTTGCAGGAGAGATGGGATGTTCCCGATGAAGTACATATACCCCATTCGGGGTCGTGGCCATTGCCGATTTACCAGGCGATCTTATTACATGTCATCTTCTCTCTGATATACAAAACGCACGGCTCTCTCGGGATAGATTTGAAGCCGTCTGGACTAAGGACTGATACTGAGCTGCTGCTCAAGTGCCTGATTCGGAGCTGCCGCCTCCGGGGCATGTTTTATTATCCGCGCATCCTACAGCAATATCAGGAACCTGCGATTGCTCAATACATGCTGGTCAGTATTGAGGAAGTAAAGCGATTCAACATTGCACTGTATAAGGTGTGCACAACGATCTATGGCTCGACGGCGCTGAGCCAGATGGTGGATGGGGCATCGATGGGCAACATCCTTCTAACGGCGGATGAATTGCAGTTCCCGCTGCCGGAGAACCACGAGTTATGGGATGCAGGGACACAAGCGGAGTGGGATCGAGCCCTGGAGGGGATGAGCGTGGATGGGTTAGGGGAGTTTAGGGAGGATGAGTGGATATCGAAGCAGGCTCGGATGATGCATGTATTGGGGAACATTTAGTCTCACTACATACCATCTATATTTGCAGTGGTTGAAGCATATCAAATACGATCGATCAAGACTGTAATGTAAAACACAAATCAACTCCATTATCACTACATAAAGGACAAACACCCTCCATCTCTACCCCAGCAACCAACTACAAACAGAACATAACATCTACGCCTCCACCCCATCCTTCTCATTCTTCGTAATCGTATCCACAATCGCAGTCTCCAAATGCGGAATAACCGGATCCTTCTGTACCCTCAACCCCTTCGTCATCCTCGCAATAGTGGTATAGAACCCTAGTACAACAAAGCACTCCACGACCTCATCATCCGTCATAACCCTCTTAGCCCACAGAATCGTCTCCTCGTTATTATCATACGTGCGGATCGACTCCTCCACCAGCGTCAGAATACACTGTTGGCGCTCCGTCCACGTGCCCATAGCAATGAGCTCCTTCGAGGACAGACCCTTGCGCAGAGCCTCGATCTTCTCGTCGCCAAGCCCGTTAAGACGCGAGATGGGCTCGTTGATGCCGAAGAGGTACTCGGCGTTGATGAGGCCCGTCATGCGGAGGACAATGAGCTGGTAGTCGAGGAGTTGAATGGTGCGCTTTTCGCCGGAGAGAATGCTGTCCAGGACGGACATGATGGGGAGGAAGGTTCCTGGGGAGCGGGCATAGAGGCGGAAGACGGCGCGGTCGATGGGGAAGGATCGTAGGAAGGCGGCGTTGGCTTCGTGGATTGGGGAGGGGTTGTGGATGTCGATGCCTTCGATTAGGGGGTATTTTGCTGCCATAGTGAGGGTTGGTTGATTGATTGGCTGATGAGGTATGAGTATGTGTGGTTGGTTTGGAGTGTTTTGAGTAGATTGTATTAGGGTTATGGGAGATGTCTGTGGTAGGATAGTAGACGGGTGTTTTTCTTGGACTACTTCTAACTTTTAAATACAGTGATTGAGGTACTGCTGATCAGTCCATCAATGATTATCAAGTCATGCCATATCGGTATATCAGCCTTTGACTATTACTGTCCCTCGTATTGTCTTGCAGGATGCTGAAGGAGTATCAGGATGCCGAAGTACTTGTTTCAGACTCGCGCGGATGTCAGCATCACCAGCGGCAACGCTAACTGCCATGTGCGCCCTAGTTAGTATCTTACTCTCCCTCCACGGCGGGAGAGCTAATTAAGGCCCGCATGCGGTATGCCTTCTGATTGGATTAGGGACTGTATACACGAACTATACTATACGAATTGAATTTGAATGGAGTCAAGATGTATGAATGCCAGTGATTTAAGATCATTCCACCGCTGCCACATATCCGGCCATCTCATCATCAGCCCATACACACAACACACACCATCACTTCTCGACAACCCTACTATCCATCTATCCTCCCCCAATTTTCATATACCACGAAGTAAAAATGGGCTCAACAGACCCCTACCGTCTCGGCCGCGACGTCATCGCCTCCACACGTCTCAATCTCCAACACTACATCTGGAAAGAGAGCATCGGATACCTCCTTCACCCATCCATCCGATTCCCCGACGCCAGCAGCAACAGCGACATTTCCATAGCCGATGTAGGGACCGGCACTGGGTTAGTAACTCCCCCTTACACCCCCCTCTACATCTATGAGCGAAGCTCTAACAACAATGTAAAGAATCTGGCTCCTCGACCTCCACCGCCAATACCCCAACGCCACGCTCCACGGCTTCGACATCTCCTCGGAGCAATACCCTGCCCCGGGATTCCTCCCATCTAACATCTCCCTCCGGCATCTCAACATTCTGGAGGAGATCCCAGAGGAGTACGTGGAGAAATATGATGTCGTGCATGCCAGACTTCTTGTGCAAGTTGTCTTGCAAGCGGGTGGGGATCCGAGGCCCGTGATTAGGAATTTGATGAGACTTGTTAGTACGTATACTCCTCGTTCCCCCTTATTTTTAACCTATTACATTTATTTTCCGATGAGTGGTATGGTATGATATTGATAATGTTGGAATAGAGCCCGGTGGCTACATCCAATGGGAAGAACCCAACGACGACGCAGGCAACCGGCCCCTCGTGAAGAGTGATCCTGAGACTACGGTCTCGGAGAACTCGGAGGAACTTATGAAGAGGATTGATGGGAAGTTTAGGTCGAAGATGCCTTCGTATGACCCCCCCCCCCCCCCCTTCCTTTTTCCCCTTCCATACACTTAGCCCCTCTGCTTCAGGAACATAATATTAGATGCTAATGATTGATGGTAAACAGATGGTCCATCCACCTCGCATCAACCCTAGCGGAGCAAGGACTGCGCGATGTTCTCCGCGATGAATGCCATCCGGGCACGTACACGCTTATTCTGGACCAGATGAATTATCTGGGCCTCTTTGGGGAATTGATCAGTAAGGTGCCTGGGGAGGAGAAGGGAGAGCTGAATGAGTTGTTGGAGAAGGCGGCGGTGGAGGCGAGGGGGGGTGTCGCGTGGAAGGTGAGGCGGTTTGTGTTTTTGGCGAGGAAGTAGTTCATCACTCCGTCTTTGCTTGGGGGTTTTAGTTTACTTTTAGATTAAATGAGATACATGTTTATACCTTCATTATTTGGGAGTGTTTGTATAGTGGGTGGTTTATTATAGGGTTAGTAGGGAGGTGAGGTGGTTGTTGTATGTTGGGGGTTAAGTTGAGTATATTATGTAGGGTTGAGTGTTATGGATTTGTGAGAAATGGTCGAGTATGATATATTTTCTTTGATCTTTATGAGTGAAATAGGTGATAGTTGACTTAATATAAGGACATCATAGTCATACGCAGCATAGTTTTCATTGTATGTGCCTTTATCTAATTATGAACCCTCTATAGAACTGACGTATGTTTCTATAACTTTGAGACTGATATATATGACTCTAGTACTAGAACTGAGTAAAGTGAAATAGTATATCAAAGTATAGACTATGACCAAATTCATCTATCTCAATAATTTAACAAACTCCCTAAAGACTATATAACAACAATATCCAATCTGAGATCTAACTCTAACCCAACCCCCCCAAAAAAACAACCCTCTTAACGCCCAACCCAATATCAAAGACAAAATAACATCATTATATCCTCTCTAATCTATTCGAATTCCACATCCAAATCCCCAATATTCTCCCTCCCCAAACCCCCCAAAACCCTCCCATACAACTCCACCGCCCTCCTCGCCCCCTGCTGATCAAACACCCTCCCATCCCAATAAAATCTCACGACATAACTTCCCCTCTCAGCCCCCTTCCCCACCTCCAGCTGCACCCCGTAATTGAACTTCATCGTATTCTTACTCATCTTCATCACGATCCACCTCATCGCATCCTCTTCCTTCCCGTCAAATTTCTTCTCAAACGGCTGGAAACAGAACAGCGCTTTCGCGCCCTCCACATCCCTATCCACTTCCAATGCCTCGTATATCTCCGACAGTGAAACGGCAGCGTGGTCTGCGGAAGTCCAGAAATCTCGCTGGGTATCCTGCAGCAGGGACTTAATGGACTGAGATTTGTCGATAGTGGAGAGGAAGGGTAAAAAGTTTGCGCATGTGCCGGTTATGCTCTGGGGATTTGGAATGGGGACGTTGCGGGCGGTTATTAGGGTGTCGTAGACTATACTTTGTTTTTGCCCGTGAGACGAGGTGTTGAGGTGAGAAAGGAGGAGGGAAAACGCCGTTTGGAAAATAACTGACGGAGTCACGTTGTGGGTTGTAGCGAGGGCGTCGATGCCCATGTCTGCTGGAATGGGGTAGGTTGTTATATTGTTCAATGATGGGTTTTGGAGAGTGGAGAGGTAGGGTGTCGTTGTGGTATCATTGTGGTAGGGTTTAAGGAGATTGGTCCAGTAATCTAGCTGGGGTTGTTTCGGGAGCGATGTGATGTAGTTGATGTATTCTTTGAAAGGGGTGCATTCTGGGATAGGCTCATTGCGCGCGAGGGCTAGGAACTGGTCGTCGAAGATGTGTAGTAAGGTGCCGTCGTAGGAGGCGTGGTCGAGTTTGATGACGAGGTCTTTGGCTCCTGTGGTGGCGTCTGTGAGGAGGGCGTAGCGCACGAATGGTCGTGCGGGATCGAAGCGTCTCTCCCAGTTGCTGTCAATGAGGGATTGCTTTTCTTCTTCGGTGGTGTAGGTGTGGTAGGTGAGGTTGAGGGTCGCATCGCGCAGGATAACCTGCACTGCTGTGCGGGGATCACGGCTCTCGTCGGCGTACAGGTACAGCGCGCGCAGGATCTGGTTGTACTGCGTGAGCTGCGTGGTCAGGGTGATCCAGCGAGAGAAGTCAAAGTCCAGTGGCAGTCGACGGACGGTCATGAGCTGCCAGAATTGCTCGGGCTTGTTGCCCTGCGTGAGAAATTCGATCTGTCCAGGGCTTAGGGGGTAGATGTCCTCTACTTCGAAGCGGGAGATGCCAAGCTGCGCAAGCTGGTTGTACATTGTTTCCGTCGGCTGGAAGGCTGGGACAACTGAAGCTGTGGGTGGAGTTGCAACAGCAGCAGGCTCCTCGATCAGCAGCGCCGCCTGGTCGCGCAGTGTCCGGGATGAGAGAATGTCGTTCACCCGCACCTGATATCCGTCCTGTCGGAGGAGACTGACGAGGTTCAAGGCCGAGATGGAGTCGCCGCCAAGGGCGTGGAAGGTTGAGTTGGCGTGGATGTCATCGGCCGGTGTGTCGAAGAGCTTGGACCAGAGATGTTGCAGTTTGTGTTCTGCTGGGGATGTGATGGCTGAGATCTCCTCGGCAGGTAGATAGGCCTTGAGTTCGTCGTCGGCTAGGTCCTGAGCGAGAGCCAGCAACCGCTTGCGGTCGATCTTGCCAGAGCCCATGAGCGGGAAGTCTGACAGTGGAAGCCAGATCGAGGGAACCATGTACTTGGGCAGGGTGGTGAGATGGTCCTTGATTTCATCCAGAATGGGCGCCTGCTCTGGAGCCAGCAGCACAACCTCCCTCGAGCCCGGGGCAGAAGTCGAACAGAATGCGACGAGCTGCTTCTTCTTGAGCACTGTGGCGGCAATAACAGCGCACTGACTGAACAGCCCCGTCTGCATAATAACACTCTCGATCTCTCCCAACTCGATCCGGTAGCCGTTGATCTTGACCTGGTCGTCTTTGCGGCCGAAGAGCTCGATATCCCCGCTGGGCAGCCATCTCGCTAGATCGCCAGTCTGGTAGATTATTCCGTCTGGCCGGTGCCGGAATACCTTGTCTGTGGCATCTGGACGCTTCAGATACCCCCTTGCCAGCTGCGGCCCGGCCAAACACAGCTCGCCGACTTCACCGGCAGGCACGGGCTGCAGGGTGTCTGGGTCGAGGATCTGCGCCGTTACATTGCGGTAGGGCCGGCCGATGTTACGCAGGTTCATATCTGGAGTGACGTGCGTTGTGGTGACGCAGATGGTGGCTTCGGTTGGTCCATAGGCGCTGTGAACGGTGATGCGCGGCGCCCAGACGGTCTGCATGTGTGGAGTGACGGGCTCGCCGCCGGTGGCCAGGATTTGCAGGGTGGGCACGTCGTCCGGATGGAAGAGACCGGCCATGGTGGGCGTTACGCAGACGGCGGTGACTTGCATGGCGTTGATTAGGCCGGCTAGGTTGCCGACGATGGTGCTCTGGGGTGCTACGCAGAGCGTGCAGCCGGTAGCTAGGGCTGAGAAAAGGGAGAAGAACGATCCGTCAAAGGTGTAGTTCAGGGCCCAGAGAATCCGATGCGAGTTGTCCATCTCTGTCGACTCGATGATGCCCTCCACTGCTGTGGCTAGGGCTCGGTGGGTGAGCAACGTGCCTTTGGGTTTACCTGTGCTGCCCGAAGTGTAGATCAGATACGCAAGGTTATCCGGGGTGAGATCGGGGACGATCTCGCGCTGGATGGGCATGGCATCCCAGTCCAGATCATCGATCACGATCACATCGTACATGAGATCGTCGAAGAAGCCGGCGCTCTGGCGGTCCGTGATGACCACCTTGGCTTCACAGTCCTCCATGATACCCAGGTTGCGCTCACGAGGGTTCTCCGGGCCAAGAGGCAGAAAGGCACCTCCGGAGACCATAACTCCCAGCATGGCAATGATGGTGCTGATGGACTTCTCCAGCAGAAGAGGAACCACCTGTTCCAGGACGACGCCCTTGGCGCGCAGCAGCCCGGCCAGCTGGTTCACCTTGATAGCCATACCGGCGTAGGTGATGCTGGCACCGGTGGCATCTTCGACAGCCGTGCGAGAGGGATAGTTGCAGGCGATGCGGTGAAAGGCAGAGTGGCCGAGCTCATCATCAGCTGGGCTGGTCTTCGCAACCTCCACTGGCCCATCGACCTCCCTCTCAACACCATTCACCACACCATCTCGCACGAGTTCCAACCCCGCAACCTTGGTATCTGGTGCCTCTGCCGCAACCTTCAAGATATCAGCGACAGACTGCACCAAAACCCTGGCATACCCATCCTCCAGCATAGATGATAGAGTCACGCGGCCTAAGTCCTCATTACTCAGCTCCAACTTGATGTAGTCGTGAGTTCCGTAGTTCTTCTCCGGTAGGATGGTTAATCCTCTAGCCGTAGTAGGCATATTATCCACCTTGATGAGGAAGTTGACCGTTGTGTCAAAAAGATCCTTTGGCTGCCGACTCACTTTCAGTATCTTGCGCAGGCCGTACTGCGCATGTCGCGCCACGTCCCACAGGCTAGCCTGCACGGAGGCCAAATGCTCCTCGAAGGAGCTGTTCTGATTAACCTTCACCCGCAGCGGAGCAATCATCAGCGTAGGCCCGCTCATCTGCAGGATACCTGGTATGGGGGCTTCTCTTCCAGAGAGAGTAACCCCTACCACAACGTCCGGGGAGGAGGTGGCGCGAGCAAGAACGAGAGACCAGGCGGCGTAGAGGAGCATGCTGGGGGTGACTTTTAGTGCGGAGGCTGTGGATTTCATGTCAACGGTTAGGGAAGCAGAGACGAGAGTCTGCTGCTCGGTTTGTGCGCCTAGACGGGTAGGAACTGCGCCGTCGAGGTACTTCTTCCAGAAGGTCTGCATGGTGGGTTCGTCGTGCTGCTGAAGATGTTTCACATATTGACTGAAGAGAGGGCGCTGGACAGGTGCTGACCCCGTAAGGAGGGAGGACAGATCCTGAGGGAGAAACTCGCTGGACCAGTAGTCGAACAGCGCATGGTGGATGGTGATTACCAAGACGTTGTTTGGTAAGGCAGCTGCGCGCCACCACAGACTGCCAGCGTGCATAGGCTTCTGGATCTGCTCCTGCATGTAGGATTTCACATCCATGGAGGGCGTCTCCCAGGGTACAGGGGCAGCTTTGCGTACGACTTGCATGAAGGATACCCCGTCTGGGATGAAAGTCGAGCGCAGGAAGATCTCCCTGTCCATGAGGGATGTCAGTGCACGCTTGACTGCCCCAGCACTATGTCCGGTGAAGCTGTATGACCGGCTGTAGATGTACTTGGTACCACCCAGCATAGTGTTGGCGATAATGGCTTCCTGGAATGGCGTCACTGGGAAG